GGGGTTTTTAATTTCTAAAATCTGTTGCTAAAAATGGATTAATTACACAGTGTAGTCAGTTTTGCAAGATGTCCAACTTGTCTCCTTCCTGCCCATTCTAAGGAAAAGTGTCCTCATTTGTTCTGCATGGCCATTTGGTTTCATGCTCTTTATTCAAATGAAGAGATGAGGACCGTGACTGACTGGTCTTCCGCAAGTGTTTGTCCACCTTTGCCAGTTAATTTTTTCCTGACTCATGCTTGTGTCTGTTAAGCAAATGTACCCCAGCAAGGCTGTGTTCATTTGTACGCTTTCTGTACTCCACACAGGAGTTAGAGGCCCACATTTTCAGGCTTTCTTCATACGAACTGTGTGATTCCTGTGCTGCTCCCACAAACGTTGCATCTTCCGTGGGCAGGGTCAGTGCAGGGTCTAGTCAAGCCCTGCAAGGACTAAATCATTGCTGAATATGTTTTATATGAGTACAGATAGTAGGAACAGTTGTATACTTGAGCATCCTCTGACTGCATCTGCATCTACCAAAAGCACAGCTATCAATAGCTGCGTCAGCATTTACAATAGATACTTCAGTAAAATACAGCAAAGATGACTATCATGGTGATATGAAAATACGTCAGGACCAAACACTGGAAATCATATTGTTACAGCGAATACAATTATTGAAATGAAGGCTTTGAAAAGCAATGACTCATCTGAAGTGCCTTCTTGAGAAACTTTTAAGGAACTTCACTTTCAGAAAGTGGAACATCCTTGGCCTTGAAACACTGTCAGACAAAATGTTTTATTTGGGACACAGAAACACCTAGGCATTATCTCAAAATCACTAGTCTTACACCTCTTGCATAAGTTCATGAGTTTTAAGTTCTCTTTGGTTATATCAGATGAAACCTACCTGCATCTATTTATCTACGTAGTTGGGAAACTGAAAATAGAGGGAAATTTACATTGTAGAAGTTGACAGTGTCTGTTCCATATATCTAATAAAATATATGATATTGCTTACAAATCTACACCTACTCCAGGAAACATTATTAACATTATTAATAACATAAAGTGCCTGACACTGCTTACATTTCATTTTGCCACAAAGTCCCACGCTTCAATGTCTTGCTTCAGGATCTTTTTAGAAAGCAGTATGTAAGAAGTAATCCATATCTCATCTGTGGGATGAGAGCAAAACCACCACTCTAACCTATTTTTGGACTCTGCTTTTTTTTCTGAGGGTGGGATTTGTTTTGATTTTTATCCCTTTTCTTTGATATTTACATGACTAGAAAATTACACTTGAGATATACACGGTCCCTCAGGAGTTTCTGAAATCACTATGACTGCTGGTATGGGCATATTTTTGGCTTTGTGGTAATGCATGTGCTCAGAGGATCTATCCTACAACCTTTAAAAGTAGGGCAAATTTGTTTCAGCAAGGGCAGACTTATTCTTAGAGCTTCACACAAGCTATTTATAAGTTGTTCTTTTGGTAAGATACTCATCCAGCATAATTTTATTGGCCATAAGGTAGATCACCATCAGGTGTCCAATCCAAGGCTGGTGAGGCCAATGTTAGGACTCAATGGTACATTTGATTAAGATAGGTAGCAGCAGTTAATCTTCTATTTTGTGGCTTTGGAGCAGCAACAAAATACATCAGTAACTGGCCTGCAGACACAGCCGTGGTTTCCCCCAGCTGGTTGGAATCTGCGTGATATGGGAGATCCTCATGGCTAACAGGTGATGGATGCTCACCAGTACCATCCCAGTGCTCATATAGCAGAAGTACTGGAGTTCTAATGGGTCCTGCCAGGAGCTTTCCAGTGCCTATGGGACAGTCATGCCTTGGCTCTGCATCAGGTCAGTTTAGGAGCGTATAGCACAAAACCTCAAGGGCTTCTGGGCTCAGCCACAGCGTGCTCATTGCAAGAGCAAGGTCCTCATTTGCAGGTGAGCTTGGGCATGTCCTGTGTTGGAACAACAAGCAGAGCATAGTCATCAATGTATAGTGGCAGCCGAAGTGAAAGATTACAGTGCAAGGCATGATGTCTTGCCTCAGTTCTCTTGCTAACAGGCCAGCAAGAAAAATAAAGCTCTTGTGATTTATACTTGTGGAGTAATCTCCACAGTAATGTGAAATATGATCGTTCAAATGGGTAAGAACAATGACAGCTGTTACCATTTCTGACAGGCAATGGGTTTGGAGCTTGGTGATGAATTGCATGCTGTCTGGGGTTTGTTCAGCCCACTTATCTTCAGGATGTCATTTTGTTTTTTGTTTTTTTTCTTTAAAAGAAAAACATCTTTTAAATCCATTGGTTTGATGTTGGAGACTTAACAGTTTCTGTTTGGTAAAGAATTTTGCTTTCTTGTGATCTTTTCTTGGAAAATGGCTCTGCACAGATTCCTAAGAAAAAGTTTTGAATGTTTATCCTGCTTTGATAAGGTAGAATAATGTTCTTTCTTTTATCTTTAATTTTATTTTAATTGGACTTGCAACAAAGATCCCTAATTATATGAGGAATTTTAGTTTTGACACATTTCAAGCTAAAATATCACTAAAACACATAAATATGTCTGAATTTCAGACTTGCAACTGCATTTAGTGAAGGGTAAACCATATTTTATGTCAGATAACACCAGACCAGACCCTGAGATACTAAAGACATGGAATTATACCCCAATCCCTTGACCTGTCTCTGTGAAATCGGTGGTGAAGAGTTTTCCAGAAGAAGGATGGAAATTCAATACAAGCGGGAAGTGTGCGTCTTGCAAAGGCCCACGTGGTGTCAGAGTTTTGGTTGTTCTCCTTCAGTAACAAATACTGTCAAACGTCACTTTAGGTCTCTCTTGGAATGGGCCAAGGTAAAATGTGGATGGGGTAAAGCAATAACCAGTGCATGGCTGGGAAAGCCCCTTTTGGCAGGAGGGCTCTGCTTACCCAATTGCAACAGATGAGCTCAAGGGAAAAAAAGCAACAACTGCTTTTAACAAGTAAGATCCTACGACATGGCCGAAGGTGGAAAGCTAAGTCCCAGACTGGCAGAAGACAGTTAGATTTTAATTATGTTTACATAGTCCTCATTGCACCCTTAGTTTTGCAAACGCTTTTCTAGAGCTAAACTGGGCCACTAGAACAAACCTGCTGCTTTCTCCCGCCTCGGTCAGAACACCGCATGAAAATCAGCGCACCAGGATCTTGCTGGACTTAGTTTTGCTCCCTTCTAAACCAGTGACATTGCTTCTTAGCCACTCATTTCTATGGGAACTAGAGCCAAGGTTTAAGTCCTTACAATTTCCTCTGCTTCTAATTTCACTGGCGTCAAGTTCTGACCAGTTAATCAAATGTCTTTTGTGTTGCAGGTGCCTTAATGTTTATTTTGATTAGTGTACCAGTTGCTATTTTTAGCTCTTTGGTCTTTGGGTTGAATGAATACCAGCACAGACCTTAAACCATAATAAACATGTGTTTTTAACCTTGCCATTTATTTTTATGTCTCTGTATCCAAATAATCAGGATGTGGTTACCTGTGAAGGTAGTAGACTACTACTTCAAATTTCAATGCACACCCACATACAAAAATATACATTGTAGAGGGTTACAGCTTTAAAAACACCAAGACAGACCCTTGACTGACTTTAATGGCTGTTGCCAGCGGACTGAGAGACAGTGGTACCACCTGGCTTACTGCTTTGTCTTTGTCCTTTGATTCCAGTGAACTTAGGCTGCTTCACCCCTACAGAATAACCAGCAGCTTTCTTCCTCACTGCTGATCTCTCATGGACAATATAAAAGAAAAGATATATAATGGGGTAACCAAATAACAGAAGCACATGTAAAATGTATTGAAAAAGCCAAGCAAGAAACAGAGTTTCAAGAAACAACACTACAAATGTTATATCTTTATTTTTTAAAACTGGACTCCAAACTGTTTTGTGGCTTTTCTCTTTTCTAATGTGGGAAAAAGTACAAAGCCAAATGTTTTTTTTACCATGTGTTTTCTGCCTAATCTAATGGGAAATTTTCTATGCAGAGGATAAAACAACTATCGTACATGATAGAAATGTATTTATACATCCTTCCTACTTCTGCTTTTGCCAAGTCAGCAAAGAATGGTAGAATCAGGCTTGAATTTTACTCTGGGGCAGGACCTGGAGATCAGCAAATTGGCAGTTACCTTTGGCACTAGAGGCCCCAACCTAGTTCTTACTAACATCAGCTGAAATATTCCCACCTGGGTGAGTTGGAGGCACATCAGGTTTTAAGAGCTAGATCCAAACAAGGGCTTAAACAGTGTAGCTTAAACCCATGGCTGCAGAAACCCCTGCAGGCAGCAGCTTCCTGATCCTGAGCCTCCCAAAACTTGACCCTCCCTGCGTTATTTAAAGGCTCTGTAGGCATCTGCAGTTCTGCCGCTGTGGCACATGGTCAGAACACCATCAGTCTGAGCAATGCATTCCCATGTAAGATTTTCCCAGGTATGGGAGCTGGATAACTGTATTCCAGCATCCCAAGAAGATCCTGGAAGTTGTGGCTACCATTAACTCATGTTGAGGACTGATGAAATGCAGCCTTGCTTTCAAAATGCTGCTGGGGAGGTATGTGATTTCTGTAACAACTTTAGGCACCTGTCCAGCATGTGGGGACATCAAGGTCAACCTGGGTGACTATAAGCCAAAGTCCCCCCTGCTTACAAGTGAGCGTCTAGTTCATCTGGTTTTAACACAAGTTTGCATTCATTACTCCTGCCCATTGCGCAGAAAGGAATTAAAAGATATGCAGGGCTATAAAGGAGCAAAGAGGAGGGAGCTTATTCTGCACCCAGAGGTGAAGGGCCCTCAGCTGGCACTATCTGGTTTTTATGCAGTGACTCTGTAAGATAAAACACATTAACAGCCATGGGAACAGAATTTCCCTTTGCTTTCACTTCTTAAAGATCTTTGGAGCGAGGTTCCTCTGGGAACTTGGGAATGCATCTGTGAAGCCATTAATAGATTGTTCACCTTTGCAGATGCTGCAGTTCCAGCTTGTTGTGGTGCATTTGGCCCTTGTGATTACCCTGCTGCAGTGGCACTCTAGCTCAGTGCTCCTCGCGGAGGCAGCGCCAGAGGTAGGTGAATGTTTCTGGTGGTTGTCACATAACCCTGCTCTTCCTCCGGTTGTTCTTGGCCACAGAGCGTGGAGACGCCACGGTCTCCAAACTGTGTTGGAAGGTGAACGGTCGGTATTGACTCTGTGAGGGCAAAACAGGAAAGAGTGATGCAAATTGCAGGGCTCTGGGAGGACAGACAGAATGAAGTCTCACTCAGTTTCATGCAACCTCTCCTGAAGCACCATGGGATTTTCTGTGTGTTAGAACATTGTCCAGTGACTTTGGATAGAGAACTTCCTGAAGAGGAGAAGGAGGTGATATGGCAGGGGAACAACTCCTCTAACACTGAAGGGAGGGTTTCATTCTTCTTCTTAAAGACAAATACCAGCGTGAGAAATCTGCAGCTTTCAGAAGCCATAAGGAGATCCTGAGAGAAGACCACCTGCACAAAAGTTACAAATTAAAGGAGACAGAAGAGTCAAGGAGAGGGAAGGAGCAAAGTAAATTGCCTAAGCTTGCGAAGGAAAGCAGCGGATGAAATGGGAGAACTGTCTCACGTTTCATGCAGTACGATACGCAGAGGTTGCACCTGAAAATACTTTTACTGCATTCTCTTTTTTCATGTCATCTTGACATAAAACAGATCTGGCAGGAAAGGTATTTATGTAACGGTTTCATGCCATAGAAACATCAAGGATCTAAAAGTTTAATCAAAGTAGCGCTGTTTGGCTGTAGGGTCTTTACGTAGGTTTTTAAGATCAGCTTAGAAGTTAGATGCATACTGAAGAATACTGATGGATCCTTCTACCTCGCTCTCTGTTTTCAAGTGAGCATGCCCTGATTATACAAAATAATATTTGTTATGGAAAATAGGGCTTGGGGGATGTACTTGTGATACTGCACAAAGTATGCAGAGCAGAGGCTATTTTTTAACTTCTAGTTTCAAGCGTTATTGTAGATATTTATCCCCACTAACTAGAGGGGAGAGTTCAGTCTTTTTTAAAGGCATAATTTTGTTGCAAACTTCTATGAAAGTTTTATAACCCTGAAAGGGAACAGAAAGGATTGCTTAGTGCACTTGAGGCTCATAAAAAGTAAAGTCAGAGGACAATATGAGATCCTTTACAAAAATATTAACAGTGCTACATCATTTGTGTGATCGTTGTGGCCACAGTAGATACAAGCATATTACATCATCCATGTGATGGCTTCCTTTACATTTGTACTAAACTCACTGTGTATGAATAAGAATGATAGTGGTGTGCTTCTAAAGAGAGAGGAAAACCTGCTTCAAGGCATATAATAAAGGTTTTGGTTAGAAATTTTTATCTAATTCCGTGAAGATCAAGTGGAGCAAGAAGGCTCTTTCATCTGAAGAGAGAATGATTTGAGCTTGACATCTCCTTTCGTAGACTAGCTGCTGCCCTATATTTTTCTGTTATTTGCAAAGCAAATATTTCACTTTGATTTGTTTCATTTCTCTCTTGATAGACCCCGATATTTTCAGCTATTCCAGGTAGCAAAGTAGAGTTTGGTTTTGAAAAGGTGTTAAGCCTGATGTCATAGCTAAGGTTCAAAATTCTGTGTTGAGCCAAGATACTGTTCTTTCCTTTCCCCTTCCCCACATAGTATTACTGCATAGATTCTTTGAATGTCAGTGCTGAGCACTGGAATGTTTTTTGCATAACAATTAATTAATTTGTCAGCTTTGGATGGAAAGTTCTGTATGAGTTTTTATTACTATTTATTAACATTCATTTAAAAAATGAAAAACAGTTTTTTGAAAAATATCAGGATCGATATTGGAGTCTAGTAATGGTGATTGCATTTTTTAAAAGGATTAAATTACTCAGCTCATGCTAGAATTGATACTAATCACGCTGCTGAGGTAGGAAAAGTGGGCTGGCCGACAAAAGCAGGCTTTGTGGAATAATAAATTTTGATAATTCTTGCAATAATAATGAAGGCGAGTTCAATTCTATCAAAAAAAAAAAAAAAAAATCCCAACCTTTTATGGCAAACTCCTTTGGGTGGAAAATGGCCATGTTTCACAGAAGGAACTTTGTTTTAAAACATTGGCCCAGGTTTAGTGTCCTAGAGATTATATATTTATAGGACTGCTGCTGTGATACTGGTTGAAATGGTTTTTCTGGAACTTGAGCAGCAAGCAAACATCCCCCCTTTCTTCTGCAGCCTTTGGAGCCTTCTGCTGCTCTGGGCATGGGAGCACATCCCATTGCCAGCGAAGAGAAGTCAGCCACCAACCTGGCAGCCAAACTGTTCCTTCTTGATGAGCTGGTGTCTGTGGAGAATGAGGTGACCGAGACCAAGAAGAAAAGAAGTTTCCCAGGATTTGGCTCCCCGATCGACAGGATTTCTTCGACTTCTGTGGATGCTAAAGGCAAACAGAGGTAAATTCTTAGATGCTCCTACCAGTGATAAAGTTGGAAGAAGGCTGTTGGTAGGTGTCCTGGATACAGATGAGTTAGCTTTAGCCACCAGCAGGTTTACTGGTCAGTTGTGAGATGCCTCTGATCAGGGTACCGGAATCTCTACAGAAACCATTCTGGTTGCATGGTGTGTAATCCTTCAGCTCTGATGAATAATACATGCACTAGTTCATTTATCCCCGCAGTGCCATACAGCTAACAAAGAATATTCAAGCATATGCATTTTTTTTAGTACATTTCTTTCCACTGATGTAAACTAACATTCAGTTTAAAACTGCCTTTTTGAACATGAGATTATTTAAAGCAAAAATATGCCTGAGGTTCAAAAGCAGAGGGGCAGGACTAGATGTTCCAGAGGCTGGGGTGAAGAGAAGATACGGTGGTGTGCATGTCTTGAATAGCAAGATAAAGAACACATCGTGAAAATGGGCAGTTAATAGAATGGGCTTCAAGACCTCGATCAAGTTATGATAAGCCGGGGTTTAATCAATACAGCAGTAGAGTAATACCTTCACAGTACATGTTTGAAGATAAGCATGTAGCAGGGCTAAGCAATGACGCTTGATATGGCTGGGGAGAGCCAGTGAGTTTGGGGCAAAGCTCAAAGGGCTGTTCGCTATATCTGAAAGAGCTTAACTGTCTTGTTCCATTCTTCTGGTAACTGTCTTCTTTTGGATGGAATCCCCAATGCCACAAAGTATTTAATAACATGCTTAAAGCTTAATCTGGAAGTGGAAAGTATTCACAAGAGCCAGTCAACATTACAAGTATTTTTTTCAAACAGAGTTTTGCAATATTTTCTTGTTGTTTTCCATTTATCCACCCAGTCCGCTACTAGGACTTTTTGACTGCAGCCAAAAGTGATAAAATACAAAATTCTTAAAACCTTGAGTAGAACTATTCTGTTCTATATATCTCTTCAAGAGATCAGAATCAGCTCATTCTTTGTTTGCTTTTTAGCATGTTTTCCCTTTCCAGGGGAAGAAATGCAAGGTAATTTTTGAAGCTGCAGTGCCTTTTTTTCAAAAGTACATTGTCTCATGCTTTTTGGGTGGAAATATTGTTTCATTCTACGTGCAGTACAAGGAAACAAAAACACAAAAAAGGGAAACTGTGGTGAAAATTGGCCAAGTTTTCTAACAGCTTGTCTCTGAATGATGAGCTCATGCAAATGAGTGATACACTGCAGAAAATTCCTCCTTTCCCAGCATCATCAGCACAGTTCGCAGTTTTGCATTGAGATTATCACTTTGGGGGAGCTAATTAGCTTTTGAGTTTGGGATTGACTTGTGTATTAGAACCATCTGAGCTGCCTTGATCACCGCATTGATAGTAAGATACCACCATCAGCATGGACCGCAGATCAGACAAGTGCTACGTAACAGTAGAAAGGCTGTACTTTTAGGCGGAAACGGGCAGTGGCTGCTGCACTTAGAGGAGTAAAACAGAGGGCTGTCATGCACACAGTAGATAACAGCACATTCCTGTACCAGCTGAGATGGTTACCTTTAGAGACCAGACAATGACTTTTGAAGTGTGAAAGCTGTTAAATAGCTTCAGCCCCCTGAATTAATACAGTGTGTGTAGAGCCTGGCAACACAGCAGAAACTTTTGGAAAAGAGCAGTTCAAACGTAAGTCCGCTTCAGTGATTGTTGTGGCACTCACCAGTTACAGAAGGGCCCAGATCCTAATCTTGCTCGTCAACATCAATTCATAAAGCTTTGAAAGCATGGGAAAAGCATGCAAGAAGATAGGAGTCTTCAGAAAATGTAGAAAGATCCTTAGACAGACGGAGAGAAAGAGACTGGGAATCTTAGAAAAGGCTATTTTAAATAGCGAACATCACTTTGTCCCTAGTAAGTGCTGAAATAGGCACCGTCTGGTTTGTAAGATGGAAACGGCGGGGAGGGAGCGGTGCCTGTCCTGCTGTGGCTCCGGATGGCCACAAGAGGGGAAGCTGCGCCGCCCTGCCTGCGCGCCGCCCTGCCTGCGCGCCG